AAAAAAAAGTGGTACCTATGTTGGTTATTTAATAAAGCCAGATTTATTCATAGCTAATATATTTACTTCCCCCAAGAAATCCAAAGCATTGATATAGGCAGATGTTTTGTTCTTAGAAGGATAAATGTGGAGAGCAATATCCAGCCAGAGATCTGTATTAGATTGTGAATAGCTAGATTTTGGGCGGTTTTTTTTTTGTTTTGTTTTGTTTTTTTTTAATATAGGAGGGATGGTACTGTGAATTGAACCAAAGTTCATTCTACCACTAAACTGCATCTTCAACCCTTTCAGTTTTTGTTGTTTTTTTTTTAATTTTATTTTGAAATAGAGTCTCACTCAGTTGCCCAGACTGCCCTTGAACTTGTGATCTTCATACCTCAGCCTCTGGAACAGCAGGGACTTACAGGGTTGTACCACTGTGCCTCATTTATATTTCTACATTTTGACAAATCTTTTATACCAAGCTGTATTAGAATTCTCTAGAGGAACAGAATCAACAGGAAGTATAATTATAAACAGGGGATATATTAGGTTGGCTCATGTGACCAGAAGTTGGATAGTCCACAATGGCTGTCTGCAGGTGGAGAGGTGGAAGAACCCAGTAGCTGCACCGTCAAGAGGCTGAAGCCCCAGTATGAGAGATCAATGGTGCTACCCCAGTCTGAGACCAAAGTCTTCTGGAGAGTCACTGTCACAGTCTGCTTTGGAAGAGAGAAGAAACAAGAATCTGATACCCTCAGAGGATCACAGCAGCAACCAAGAACTGGCTCAAGAAGAATCCAGCTTGCTTCTGCTGCTTTCTTGTTTTTCCAACTTTTTTTTTAATACTTATTTTTTATTGTAGTTGGACACAATACCTTTATTTTATTTATTTTTTATGTGGTTCTGAGGATTGAACCCAGGGCCTTGAACATGCTAGGCAAGTGCTCTGCCACTGAGCCACAATCCCAGCCCCCTTGTTCTTCCAACTTTTATTCCTTTCCAGCCATCATCCTATTGGATGGTGCTGCGCATGTTTAGGGAGGGTTTCCATTTCAGTTTGCTATCCCACATGCCAATCATTCCTAGACACACCCTCACAGACACACTAGCAATCCTCTTAATCCAATCAACCCAACAATTCAATACCAGCCTTGTGACTTGAATGGATTAACATGAACTGTGTGTATAACTAGTTGAAAACTGTAATCAGAATGTTGACTCTTAGTTTTCCCATTATTATAACAAAATGCCTGAGGCTGGGTAACTTTATAGAGGCTTATTTTGCTCACAATTCTGGAGGTTCAAGACCATGGTGCTGGACATCTGCTTGGTGCTGGTGAAGACATCCTATCCTGGTGGATGGTCTCACAATGGCAGGAGTATGTACAAGACGAGCCTCCTGTGACTAGGCAGGAAGCCAGAGTGGAGCTAGGCTGTATAACAATCTTCTCTGAGAATTAAGGTGTCTCACGTGGGAACTACCTTGATCTCTTCCAAGGTAGCTCCCCTTGACCTAAGGACTTCTCATCAGGCCCCACGTCTAAAGATCCCACCACCTCAGCACCACCGC